ATCTAGTTAGTATAGTGCTTTTACTAAACACTTTGATTTCATTTAATTTTTTAATGTCTCAATTTTTATTTATTATTATGAGATAATAAAGCCAACTCTTTTTCAACGTCAGAGAAAATACTAATACCCGATTCTAATGAATCAATTAATATTTCTAATCGATTAGAATCAAGATTTTGGTCCTTTCGTATATCAAGCACAATAAGTATATTTTTAATGAACGCTATAAATACAAAGATTAAAAAATTTTGCATTAATTATTCTATATTGACAACTTACTTTTTATTTTAGAACTTTAACAGCTAATAAATATTCATAAAAAATTAATAATTACAACTTCCTAAATCTTGCTTGCAGAAATTTTCTATCGACACATAAACCCTTCGCTCTATTGACAGTTTCTCTTGCAACATAACCACCATCCACAAATTCAAAAAGTTCATCTTGTTCAAATATTTCCTTTAAATATTCAATAGTGAAAAAATAAGACATCGTTCCATCTTGTCTAACATATAAATTTTCTTGTAGTTTATGTTGAGCTGTTATAGTTGAAAATCTAATTTCAGTTTCATCATCTTTCGCGTAATCACGAAAACATATTATTGATCCTTCTCTTGTAACCTTTTTTTAAGAATTAAAAAACATATGATGTATATTTTTCGCATAAGAAAACAAAAAAAAAGATTCTCTAATTACCTCTGATATATTACGAATTACGTTGTAATGTTTTTCTGGTGGTATGGCTGATAATACAAATATTAAAGAAACAACATCTATATTTCCTGATGGTATATTGTCTTTTAGACTATCAGCTGTCAAATCACAAACAAAGGCATGACATCTTAAACTATCGTATTGTTCATGATTCTGTTTAGAAAATATTCAAATTTAAAATTAAAAACTCAGGTTTTCTATAATACGGTCTAACAGATTACTAAGGAAATCCATCAGGAAAAGTTTTTAAGTGATATGCATCGACGATATCTAACATTAAGTCGTAATTTTTAGCAACACTTTGAAGATGAATATCTCAATAACTAGTGATTCAAATCGGCCCGAATTTTTAACACTATTAGATATGATATCCATCTATAAAATATATAAGTTTCATTTGATTTGGCTAAGCAGTTCTCGAGAAATCGTTTGTATACGATAATCGACTTTTAAAAAAATTAACTATCATATACAAGCGATTTCTCGAGAACTGCTAAGTCAAATCAAATGAAACTTTAATATTTTATATATGAATATCATATCTAGTTGTGGTAAAAATTTGGATCGATTTGGATCACTAGTTATTGAGATATTCGTCTTCAAAGTTTTGCTATAAATTTCGAAAATTTTAAACTATCGATATTAATCGATTTTTTATTCTATCGATAATAATCGTTATATATCCATAGTCGATTAAATTCGATATTGTTACAAATCGATGTATAACCCCCTGCCGATTATAATCGATTATTTGCCATCGATATATATCGATTTACTCGATTATAATCGTTACCTATCCCCTTAAAATTTTTCCTGATGTCCTCATAGGAATTTCCATAATACGGGTGGTGGGAAATATTCCTAACCCTAACAGATTACGGATTTTCTATATGGGAATTAGTAATCTGTTAAGGTGAGGAATTTTTGAAATTTTGATAAAAACAAAAGACTAATAAACATAAATATCTTGCCTTAACAAATTCGATAGCACGTTTTGAAAAGTCACAAGCGTAAATAAAGAAATTGGGATTTGATTCTAAAACAGGAAAAATAAAGTTTCCTACACCACAACCTAATTCTAAGATAACCTTTTTTCACAAGGTTTATAAATTAATTTAGTATCTATTTAAGTATATAAAAAGTAATAAAGCTTAAATACTTTTTTTTCTTGCTTGAGATCATTCTCAAATGAAAGTTCTGAAAATTCACGTCCGATCCAATTACGATTTTTAAAAAATTTAGTAGTATTCCTTTTATAAAATAAATCCCTATTCGATATTGATAACAACGAATTATTATCGAGAAAATTATTATCTATATTTAAAAAATTATATAGATACCAATTCTTTGAAGCTTCCTTCTTATATTTGTCGACCCAAAATTTTGGAACCAAATTTTCATTCTGTTCGTCATTTGTTGAAGTTGTATAAACATTCGATATGTTACTGTCTATTTCCATTTTATTCATACTACGTATATATTTATATATATTTATAATTTTATTTAGAAAGTAACGGTAATTAAACAACGAAATTTACAATGTTTCTTATAATATACGGGGTTACACAAACTTATTAATATGGTACATACCGATACGTACCATTTTCTTGACTTTTACTAAAACGTACAGTACCTATAGTGTTTTACACCTACGTATATATTATACGTATTTATCTCAACTGACTAACTAATTGGTGTGAGGTGCCTTAAGTAAAAAATGTTCTATGCCCCAAAAACCCTTCCCAAACCCTAACCTTAACCCTAAAATTAACCCTAACATGAAAAAATTTTTGTTAAAAATTTTGTATTAAAACTTTAATATAATAAAAATATATAATACTGTAGGTGCAAAACCACCATAGGTGTGTTTATAATAAATGCTTTTTTTTATTTTATATATAATTTTTTGATTTTTTAATAGTATCTTGATCTCTCTTAAAGAGATATAAGCAATGTATTAACAATATTATAAGTTATTTTTCTTCATTACAGTCTAATTGTAGTGATAGTATTTTATTATTATCTACTAATTATTGTTCTCAAGAGCAAACATATGTTCGTTCTTCAGATGTACGCGGGATCCAACCTTCTTTTACTCCAAGCATGAAATCCCAATGTGGTGAATCTTCTGTTTTAAAATTCCAAAAAATCCAACCAATCCTAACAAAAATAATTTATTAATAATCTCAATTAAAACAAAATGCGCAACATATTTAATATTGATTTTCAAGCAATTTACCCAGCTTCATAAGCATCCATTTGAGCCGATGCATATTTTTTCAGATAGTTTTTATAATCATGCGTCCAATTTAAATAATTACCTTCACCTTGACATGTGCAATTAGGACAGATAGGACCATGATTTTTCTCAAAAGTTCCGTCATATCTAGCACCACGACCAAAACCATTTAACCATTTTGTGCAATCGGTTATAGCAAGACTCCTATTCAAGTGATAAGCAAGAAAATGAAATTGAATTTTTCATAATCTAAATATTAAATGTTATCATAACGATAAATTCAATTTTAAGTGATTTACCATTCTCCGACCAATATCCAAATACCTTGATTAGATGCAATGTCGGCTTTGCTTAAGCAGACAAAATTTAGTCGTTGCTCTTGATTCATAGCCAATAGAGAATAGTCAAAAACTGCATAGTTATGAGTATCCAACACAACTTGATCGAATCCTGAAGAACTTAGAAAATTTTGCCATGTATTTAGAGGTAAAAAGGCCGTGTGATATATAATTAAAATATCACTGTTTATGTGACGAATAACATTATATGAATCTTTATAAAATTTTTGTGTTAAATTAAGTTGATTACCACCCCAACTATATATTATGCAAATAATAACAAAATTAACCATAAATTTTTATATTTGAATTTGAGAGAGAAATGATAAGCTACTTGCCTAGCAGGTTCATTAAGAACATTGATG